TCTGTTGTCCTCCATCTCTGCCGCAGACGAGGAGCCTTTCCTCATCTTTGCCAACCGCTACTACCTGAGGAAGCTCAACCTGGACGGATCCAACTACACCTTGCTCAAACAGGTGAGGGGCTCCCAGGGTCCGTTCAGAAGCCTGGACATGCAAAGCAAATCGGATGATCTGCCAGGCATCTGTATGTGTTAACAGTTCTCCAATTGTGCTGTTTGTGCTGGCTTGTGCCATTGAAAGTAGCGTTTGTGCCGTTGTTGTTCCCAAGACATAGCGCCACCTTCTTTCAGGGATATGATGTCACTCATCCAACCCTTAGAACAGCACAGGAGAACTGAAGCGCTATGGTTCCTTTGTGCTCCGTTTGTCTTGTTTTGTGGTGTTGAAAGTAGCTTCTGAGATGTAGCGCCTTCTTTTTTTCTGGTTGTGATGTCACTCAACCGCCATACAACTCCCCCAAAAAAGAAGGGGCGATGTTTCAGCAATGAAAGCAGCTCAGACTCCAGTTTCAGTAGCACAAATGGAGCACAAAGACACCAGTGGGTTTCATTGTCTGTGCTGTTTGTAGGGGATCAACATCGGAGAGCTTTGATGGGGATGTGATGCTGGCACGTGTGCAGGTTTCATTAAGAATGAATTGATTGATCATTGCTCGGGTCAATACAATCCCGGAGATGCTTGCAGTGAATTCCTGCACTGGCTGTAAAGTCAAGTGGCCGTGAAGGTTAATGGAAACGCAGGCTTGGCTTAGCGGCTTTGTAGATGCAGTGAATGTGTCCGGAGTCGCCACCTCCTGATGGGAGACAGGTGATTTGGACTAGAGGGGAAAATGGATCCAATACATCCGGCACAGCTCATTCTGTGGTTGTATGAAGTGTCTCTCCGCGCGCCGCCGTGTGGGGTGCTTTCTCACCCGCCTCGGTGTGTTTGCCGAGACAGGGGCTGAACAACGCCGTGGCCCTGGACTTCGATTACCGGGAGCAGATGATCTACTGGACAGACGTGACCACGCAGGGCAGCATGATCCGGCGCATGCACATCAACGGCAGCGACGTGCAGGTGAGCCGGGGAGGAGGAGTGGTGCGGGGGCGGGGGTCTGTGTCCGCGACCCCGGACCGCACCGGGCCGGCGCTCCTCCCCCTGCCCTGCCGTGACGCTGCGTGTGCCGCTGTGTGCGCTCTCCGCAGGTGCTGCACCGCACCTCCCTCAGCAACCCCGACGGCCTGGCGGTGGACTGGGTGGGCGGTAACCTCTACTGGTGCGACAAAGGCAGGGACACCATCGAGGTGTCCAAGCTGAACGGCGCCTACCGCACCGTGCTGGTCAACACCGGCCTGCGGGAGCCCCGAGCCGTGGCTGTGGACGTTCGCAACGGGTAAGATGGGGCACCCTCTTTGTGTCAGTGCCCCCCCCCACCCCCCCAGTGTTTTTCCCCACAAAGTGCATTCTTCCCTCTTGATCACGCTGTACCCTAATTCTCCCGGCACCCTGACTCACACCCTCTTGCTCTCCACATCTCTTCCTCTTGTTCTCACCCTTGGCTAAAAGTTTTCTGGGTGCCGAGAGTGATCACACCACGCTGGTGCGTACCACAGCCCGACAGGATCCGCCACTCGCGGGCTCTTTACAGTCTGGCAGCTCTGTGTGAAGAGCCGGTCAGCCCTGCGTTCAGTCTTTTTCTGAGTCTCGGAGCACCTGTGGAGGAAAAGGCATCCACCTGACATGGGTTTGAATGCATATCCGTGAACACTTCTAATACAGTTGCATGGAAAAAAGTATGTATTCACCCCTTGCAGATTTCCTGAATCAGGTGGGTCCGAGTGAAACATGAAGAGTTGAACAAATAACATTTTCACACTGGATATCATTGACTCTATGAAAACAATGAAACCAGCAGCAAACTCTGGTGTTACTTCTTCACTCAGATCCCCTTTAAATTTCGCTCGCACCCACGTGAAGCTCTGATAACGTTCAGCGGTGAAAACCTACACAAATTCAGAAAATCCAAAATTGGCACATAAATTCCCCTGGAGTTGGAGCTTCAAAGTTTTGTCCGCTACCTGTCCAGCGTGGCATTGCCTTTAAAACTGGCACCTTCAGACTCTGGTGAGGACGTGAGGAGGGGAGTGTGAGTTGAAGGGATGGTAGCTGAGGAATTGTGTTGGCAGATCTCACCTTGGTGCTCGATGTGGACAAAACCTGAAAACCATCTAAACACTGTTCGCAAACAATTGTGAAACCAAGTCTGTTTGCAGTGAAATAGATCCAGTATGCTCAGTTTTCTATCTGCTTTTTCTGATTCAGGGTCACGCCAAGCAAAGGTAGGGTACACCCTGGACAGGACACCAGTCTTAGGGCACACACAGACACGCACTCTCACACCAGGACCAATTTTCCAATTAACCTTCCAGTATGTCTTTGGACTGTGGGAGGAGACTGAAGCACCCAGAGCAAACCCATGCAAACATGCAAACTCCACACAGATAGCACCGCAGGTCTTAAACCCAGGGCCCCAGCACATCAAGTCAACAATGCTAACCACTGCGTCACCAGGCTGCCATGTTAGGCAGTATTAATTATTATATGATTTGGTAGGATATGGTAGTAAAAGTGGGGTTTTTGGGAAGAGCCTGGGAAAACAGAAAGTCTCTTGTCCCTCGCAGGTACCTGTACTGGTCGGACTGGGGCGACCATCCCCACATCGGTAGGATTGGCATGGATGGGACTAACCGCAGCGTCATTGTGAAAACCAAGATCACCTGGCCCAACGGTCTCACCCTGGACTTCATCAACGACCGCATCTACTGGGCTGACGCGCGCGAAGACTACATTGAATTCGCCAACCTGGACGGCACCAACCGGCACACAGGTCAGAGCGCCACCGTGCAGGCCCTGGTGCCCCCGTCGCGCCGGCGGCGCAGACAAGACATTTAACAGAACAGCTGAAGTGAAGGAGTACGCCTGCATTGCTTCTGAGCCGTACAGTTGCACTGGTAACAGTGTACTTCAAGCTTGTTACCAGTACAGCCGCATTTAAAACGTGTGATGCAGGACCGAAACTCATTTCTCTGTTGCTATCCTACGTTTCAAATAATAACTGGGTACTTTAATAATGGTTATTTTACAGCATTTGCCTTAAAGGCAGTGAATCTTACAGTGTGCACTCCTAGCGATTTCTTAAAATAGAATCGCTAAAGCACATGTAATTGGGTAGTTATGTGAATTGCAGTTATCTAATCTGGACTCTAATCAGTAGGTCTAGGCCCATTTCCAGTGCCTAGGGCACTAACAGCACTGGACAGTGCTGGACTTTGCCTGCCTGCTCTACTGGAGAGCTGTCGGTGCCCCAGCTGCCTCCACAGAGGCAGACGCCCTCTCAGTCTGCTGATTAGCCACAGATAACATCTCTGTTCAAAGTCCTCCTACGAGTTAATATTTTTTTTTTCCCCAAAGTGAACGTTAGCTGGGTTTTATTAAATTTTAAATCTTCTACCTCCTCCAAGGAAATGCAGTTGAGCAGCCCAGCCTTTCCCACCGTAGTCCAGCACCACTGTTTATGAAACAACTAATGTTGTCGTAATCAGCCTCTGTAGAATCGTCTGTGTTGGGCCATGCTGAGCCATCCCGGGTGAGCTCTCTTACCTGGCTGGCGTTCTCCTAGTAATATTATCTCCACATCATTGTTGCTCCTTGCTTTTTACATTTACATTTATTAAATGTATCTGTGATCTGGCCAGACAAGATATATTTATCCAGGATGTACAGGACGTTAAAAATGAACAGCTCACCAGACTTCTGGCTCACACCAGGGGCTGACTGAGACTGGAGTTCCCCAATACCCCAGTGTCACCTGGATTGCCAGCTGAGCTCTGTGGCCCCGAGACTAGGTCACTCCAGGGGCTGACTGTAACTGGGGCTCCCCATTAGCCCAGTGTGACAGAGGCGGAGTAGTGCTGGGGTCAGTTGGTCAAGGTAATGGGGACCCTTGGCTCCTGCAAACCTGCAGCAAGGTGGGTGTGGGGCACGTCACTGGCCCACTGAGCCCCCAGCTCTGCCTGACAGGCTCCCACAAGCAGCATTGAAAACCTGTGTGTGCTGGGGGGCTGGTACACACTCATCTAGAAACAAAATAGCTTGTTCGAACCAGGCTGTTTTTATAGCAGGGGGTTGATTACTGTCTGGGTTGTAATGGACACATTCTTTCAGCTTCTGCATGTTCCGTCATATCTCACTTAACATTATTATTAGACCATGTTATCAGGTTTCATAGAGAACTTCCAGACACTATGCCAAGATAATAAAAAGGGAAAAATAATTACACAGATCCATGGTTAAGAAAGCATAGCTGGTAATTCAGACTGATTCAGCAGGATGTGTTTGAGATCAAATGAAAAAATATCATAGAATGTTATATAGAGAACAGGTCAGTTGGACAAACAAGTCTTGCTGCTGTTCTCTGAATTTAAAGGTCTTGATGGTAATGGAGACCGCAGGTTGTTTAGACAGACCTGGAAAGGCATGGTCTGGGTGAGAAGGGATAGCAGTGTTGACCCCTGCCCTTCCAGTGCAAAGGCTGACGAACCTCCCTGGCTGTCTGCCTGCAGTGCTGAACCAGGACATCCCCCACATCTTTGCCATGACGCTCTTCGAGGAGTTCATCTACTGGACAGACTGGGAGACCAAGTCCATCAACAGGGCGCACAAGACCCTGGGCACCAACAAGACCATGCTGATCAGCACCCTGCACCGGCCCATGGACATCCACATCTTCCACTCCTACCGCCAGCCAGAGGGTCTGTGAGCCCCGTCTCTGTGTTCCCCTGCATTAGTGCCCCTCCCCCCCATCTCTTATGCCTTGTTCTGTTTGTGTCCCTCTTTCTCCATGCTCCTCTCCCTCCCCGTCTGTCTTGTCTCTCTCTCTCTGTCTTGCGTGAATCTGTCCCAATCATTTTGCCTTTTGGCTCACTTGTGCTCCTTCCTGTCCCTTATTTACCCTGCGGCGGCGGTGTCTCAGAGCACCCTACCCCGACAACGCAGCGAGATCTCTTATTTATCACCCCACTCTCGCGATCCGTCTGTCCCCACGTTACTCCACTGACCCCAATGACAATCGCCCCCCTCCCCCAATGCTGGCTCCCATTGACAATGACAATGACCCCCAGCGCTGTCTCTGTCCCTGGGTGACCCCAAGGACCTCCATTGACAGTGACCCCCCCAATGCTGTCCATGGGTGACCTGGTGGCAGGCTATTTTGACAGAGCATATATTCTCTCCTTTCAGTGTCCAACCACCCCTGCCAGACTGACAACGGAGGCTGCAGTAACCTGTGCCTGCTGTCTCCTGGAGGGGGCTACAAGTGTGCCTGTCCCACCAACTTCTACCTGTCCAACGATGGTCGCACCTGCATGTCCAACTGCACTGCCAGCCAGGTGAGCACCAGGTGCCTGCAGGACCCAGAATCGAAGCCTTTTTTTCTTCACTGCTGTTACTCCGCTTTCTGAAATCTCTTCCAGCGTGACTGTACTAAGAACACAGCATCGCCGCGCTTGCGTTCCTGGTGCCTCTGCTGCCTCCTAGAGGCCGTAGTGGAGCACTACTTTTACACCCTCCAGTTCTTGATCTGGCCTGTTCAGCACATGGAACTTGAACTTGAACTTTCTTGCCATATGTAACTGGTACAATGGAATTCTATCTTACAGAAAGTCTCTCGAGTGTTAAAACAAGTGCAAAAAGTTAAAACAGTGGGTCAAGACAATATACAAACAAACAGTAGACAATGTACAAGTACAAGTACCCATGGTTCTTCAAGTCTGGAGTTTAAAACCACCAGCACGTTCAATGTCGTATTCCTGCCTACAGTCATTTACCCACTAGTAGCCAGCAGCCATGTCACCCTACAACTTAAAATTGGCAACCCACTGAAGCTCAGCAGGTGTGAGCCTGGTCAGTACCTGGATGGGAGACCTCCTGGGAAAAACTAAGGTTGCTGCTGGAAGAGGCGTTAGTGAGGCCAGGAGGGGGAGCTCACCCTGTGGTCCATGTGGGTCCTAATGCCCCAGTATAGTGACGGGGACACTATACTGTAAACAAGCGCCGTCTTTCGGATGAGACGTAAAACCGAGGTCCAGACTCTCTGTGGTCATTAAAAATCCCAGGGCGTTTCACGAAAAGAGTAGGGGTGTAACCCCGGTGTCCTGGCCACATTTCCCATGCCTCCTAATAATCCCCCTCTATGAATTGGCTACATTACTTTGATCTCCTCCCCCCCCCCCGACGGCAGGTGGAGCGACGCGCCCGGTTGGAATATTCTCATTCGCATTTAATGGCAACGTCAGCTCAAAGATTTGGTTCAAACCACCAAATGGAGACGGGCGTGCCGACAAGCGGACCCTGCTGATGCGGGATTAACGCTAGGATGAGAGAGAGAGAGTCATTTACCCGCTAACTGAAGTGTGTGGTTTTAGCAGAACTGTGCAGCAGTAGTGGGAATACTGCAGCTTGGGCAGATGCATGGCCGCAGTGCACCTGTTCGGGTTGGTATCGCATGGCTACAGAGTCTGTAGCTCTTCTCCCCATCCCCTCTATGCCTCCTCCCCAGTCTCCAGTGCAAGCTCGCGTCGGTCTCATGTTCCTTTGCTTTCCCGGCTTGTTCCGCAGTTCGTGTGCAAGAACGACAAGTGCATCCCCTTCTGGTGGAAGTGTGACACGGAGGACGACTGTGGGGACCGCTCCGATGAGCCGGCCGACTGCCGTGAGTGCGGGGGGGCCTTGGCTCGCTCTTTGAAGTTGTGGGGTCCCAGAGAATGTCGGGGGGGACGTCCTCTGGTCGCTGAGTGGAAGAAGATTACCCCCAGTAATCCAGAGGCACTCTCAGTTACTGGGTAAAGGCTCTCGTTCAGGTGATGCCACCTTTTGATTTGCAGTTTTTTTTTATTCTGCTTGTAGCTGAATTCAAGTGTCGGCCCGGTCAGTTCCAGTGCGGCACGGGAATCTGCACCAACCCAGCGTACATCTGTGACGGAGACAACGACTGCCAGGACAACTCCGATGAGGCCAATTGCGGTAATGTCCCCGTTTCTCCTCTCCCCCAGTATCCCACACTCCCTCCAAGTGTCTCCTCTCCCAGTCTCTCCCAGTGTCCCACACTCCCTCACAGTGTTTCCTCTCCCTCTCTCTCAGTGACCCACACTCTCTCTCAATCTTCCTCATTTTATTCTTTTCTTGTCTTCCTTGATTTTTCTGTTTGATTTCCTTCTGTTCTTTTTAATCCTGCTTAATTCTTCCAGTGTCTGTCTCTCCCTCTGTGTTAACCTCCTTTTCCCTGGATGCTTAAAGATTTTCCACCAAGCAAAAGTTTTTTTTCCTCCTAAAATGCCACCTTTGCAATCTTTTCAGCCTCTTTTCTAAGCTCTTGTCACTGGGCGTGTTTTGTGTTTTTCCTCCTTTGGAAACGAGGGGTGGCCTGCGCCTGCATGCCTGCTGGAGCCTGTAGGCCTGTGCTGACCGGCGCGCCTGTATGTGTTGCAGATATCCATGTGTGCCTGCCCAGCCAGTTCAAGTGCACCCACCCCAGTCGCTGCATCCCGGGAATATTCCGCTGTAACGGACAGGACAACTGCGGAGAGGGAGAGGACGAGAAGGACTGCCGTGAGTGGAGCCTCTTTGTCTTGCTGTCATATCTCCTGTCCAATGTGTTCCCTCCGTCCCCCTGTGTCCAAGCCCGGCGGTCCCCTGTCTCTCCCAGAATCGTGGGTTGGGTGACGCCCCTCTTCCGATCTCTCTCTCTGTCATGCAGCCGAAGTCACCTGCGCCCCCAACCAGTTCCAGTGCGCCATCACCAAGCGCTGTATCCCGCGGGTCTGGGTCTGCGACCGAGACAACGACTGCGTGGACGGGTCGGACGAGCCGGCAAACTGCAGTAAGACTGGAGACTGAGTACCCTTCCCCCACAAACCCCACTCCCCCAGTCACCCTCCTGCCATCAGGCTCCAGGCTGCCTCTCAAAATTATCCCCTCATCCTCCCAGCAGCGCCCTCTTCTGGCCATCAGCCTTGCTTCTAGGGCTTCCCCAGAATTCTCAGGGTTGGCACAGGAAGGGTACTTCTAGTGTCCTGGGCGTCATGCCCACACCCAGCCCAGCCGGGAAAGGGAGAGTGTGGGCCAGTTTCTGGCCGAGGGCTAGGCCATGGCGATGGCTTTTCAGAGTGCGGAAGTTCAGAACTCGACATTCCATGGGTTCATTTAGATCATTTGTTATAAAAAGAGCTCCAGGTAGCTACGAGCAAGGCAGCTGCTTGTCTGCTTTCAATTGTGGTCCTGAACACTCGTTCTGACCGCCAGGCGTGATCTTCCCAGGATCTTTTGAACGGATCTGGGACCGATTGGCTCTGACAGGTGAGCCTGGAGAACTGCAGATCCCCTGACTCAATTGGGTGGACGGGCAATAAAGCAGAAAGCCGATCAATACGATTTGTAAAAGCTCGAAGCTCAGCAGGGTCAAAGAGCAGATACCGGGCGGTGGAGAGAGTGTTCCCTGTGAACCGCACCGAGATATCTGGGCTCTGGAGAGGAGCACCTGGGACCCAAGGGCGCGCAGGGTGACCCGCTGTCTTGTGTGCCGCCTCCGCAGCTCAGATGACGTGCGGCGTGGACGAGTTCCGCTGCAAAGACTCGGGCCGCTGCATCCCGGCGCGCTGGAAGTGCGACGGCGAGGACGACTGCGGCGACGCCTCCGACGAGCCCAAGGAGGAGTGCGGTGAGCGAGCGGGCGAGGGGGCGTGGGGGGTGAGGCTGGGGGCGCGGGCCTGCCGGGCCGCTCTGCACAGAGAATTTCCTTCTTTTCCCCACTCGGAGTACAAATAAAAAAATCCCCTGCTTTTCTTAGAATCGGCTCAAGCAGGGAGCCGCGTCAGCGTGCGTAGGCTGCAAACGAACAGGTAAAGGTTGATTCCCTGCTGAATAGAGAAGAATAGAATCACAACGTTTCGGCTGTGGAGCCTCACACCTGGAGAAGGCTCCACAGCCGAAACGTTGTGATTCTATTCTTCTCTATTCTTCTCTTTTCAGTATGGAATCAACCTTCTTTTACCTGTTCTTTTGTTAGAAACGTCAGTTCTCATTCCCTGTCCCAGCTCCCATTCCCTGTCAGAGAATCCCAGTGCCTTCCACACGTTGCTGGGTGGGGGGATTTGGGCCTGTGAGGTCCTCCTTTCTCTAGAAAGGCCTTTGGATCAGGGTGGTGCCCGACGGCGCGTCGCCTCTTGTACGGCGCCCCCCCACCATGTTGTCCGAGGTCTGACGCCCTCCTCTCTGTGTGTCCCCGCGCTCGAGCAGACGAGAGGACGTGCGAGCCCTACCAGTTCCGCTGCAAGAACAACCGCTGCGTGCCGGGGCGCTGGCAGTGCGACTACGACAACGACTGCGGCGACAACTCCGACGAGGACAAGTGTGGTAGGTGTCCGCGGGGAGACCCCGCCCCCCCCCCAGGTGCCCCCAATCAACCCAAGTCCTCTGGAGGGAGCAGGTTCCGAGAGGGATGTGTCTGCAGGTCTTTCATTGGCACTTAATGAGCAGGGCTGTGCTGGAGATCCAGCCTTTTCGTGTCTTTTGGATGCAGGAGTTAAAAAGCAGCATTGAAGTAATGGAATAGATAGACGGCATGGCTGGGTCAGCCACTGTCCAGCGGGGAAAAGAAAGAAGACTGCTCATACAGTTTGAATGTTTTATACCCCCAACAAACTGGGAGCCTGCTGCTCAGTTGTTGTTGCCGCAGGCCCTCGAGATTGTCTTAAAAAACAAAAGCAGGACACCAAGCAAAGAGAAGATGTGGACATTAACAAGTCTAGGAGCAGATGACGTGAAAGATTGGATTGGGATCTCGCGCACGCTCCTGCAGCCGGACCTGTCCTAGTCAAGCCCAGTGCTCCTTGTGTTGCCTGTGTGTGTTTTGTGTGCCTGTGTGCATGGGCTGCTCGCCGTGTGACTGCCTTCAGCTTGCATGACTCCCGTTCTCACTCCGTCCGCCTGGAGGACTTAGCTGGCAGAGGCTGGGGTTTCTCCTTTGGGATGCCTTTTGTGTGCTTCCATCGTTGAAAATCATCTCAAAAGAAATGAGAGAGTGAGGGTTAAAGACCACACCACGGTGAGGGTGGGTGTGCTGGGGGGAAACCTGGAGCTCACTATGTCTGGCTGCCTCCAGGTTTGGCTTGATGGCGCTCCTGCTGTGTCTGTATGCACCTGAATCCCGCTCAGAGCTGCCAGCCCCTCATGCCCACCTGCCCAGGACTGCCCGTGTGGCTTCATCGCTCCTCACCCTCTCCCTGTCTTCCTGTCTCCCCGCTGTGCCAGGCCGCAGTGCTCCAGGGTCCTGGAATGGACTGGACTGGATTGGTCCAGCTGAGGCTGGTGGTCTCGTCCTGCTTTAGTAGTGACAGGTGCAAATTAGTTAGCATTAATAAATCTGTTAGCACTTCTAGATTAAGAGACGCTGATCAGAATATTTTTAACGTGATGGAAGGGAACGGTACAGACTGAGCTGTTCCTGCTGCATTGCGGGCGAGCGGTGCTCTCCTTGTTGCCCTTGTTTTTAAAATGAACTGGGACGTTCCAGGAAGCAGGTAAGCTGGGTGAAGCCACATCGGTAGTGGGGGTAGCGGAATGTGG